ACACACACACACACACACACACACACACACACACACACACACACACACACAAAAAACACAAGGTGCTTACCTGTTCAGCTTTAGCATTAATAAAAAAAAGCTTCTGGTTGAAGAACTGACCAGCTGACGTTTATGATTGTGGACAATTCAAAGGCCATGAACATGCAGGATTCATAAATCAGAACACTCTCAAAAGAAGCAAGAAAGGTCATGAAGAATGCTCTCATACAATCAGCAGGCTTTAGAAAAAAATAACTGAAAGCTGAATTTAAAAAAAAGTGATTTTGTAAGTTGCAAAAAACTGACCACATTAAAAAAAAAAATTTTTTTAAAGTCTTGCACATACAGTCAAATTACTTTAACCAAGCCTGATACCCGTGTTAGTATAACCAAAACATATTTCCCTCTCTAGGTGTCAGAATGGATCAAAACTATCCCAAAGCAATGCTATGGGAATGTGAGAAGAGCTAAATACATTGAGCTAACCTTTAACCCCAGGCTTAGCAATGTATTTGTGAGATTTCCTTTAGAGTGAGCTGGACGTCTATGGCCGACTGACCCTTCTGACGACCTCAGGCTTACGCTCTGATACACTCTATTCACTCAGCTCTGACAGTCCTGAAGCAAACGCTCATGACCCTACATGACCGTAATTGAGTTGTCAATCAGTAGACTTAAAGGGATAGTTCACCCAAAAATGAAACTACCCTCAAGTAGTTTCAAACCTGTATGAATGTCTTTGTTCTGCAGAACACAAAGGAAGATATTCTGAAGAATGTGGGAAACCGAGCAGTTCTGGGGCACCATTGACTTCCATAGTATTTTTTTCTCCTACTATGGAGGACAATGGTGCCCCAAAACAGCCTGGTTACAAACTTTCTTCAAAATATCTCCCTTTCTGTTCGGCAGAACAAAGACATGTATACGGGTTTGGAACTACTTGAGGGTGAGTAAATGATGACAGAATTTTCATTTTTGGGTGAACTATCCCTTTAAAGAAACACTGGTCCAAAGCCAATGTCAGTTAAATGAGTTTTCTCACTCAAACTGCTTGCATTAAACTGCAAAAATGCTTAAGAATCACTTTGATATTTGACACAGGATTGTAACATTTAAAACAGCGTGTGTCAATAATAATGGCTTTATCATGTTATTCATCACAGGAAAGTGACATTGGTTGTGTGGAAGCTGCAAATATTTTAGAAATGTTCGTTCTTAAGGAAACGGCCACAGGTCAGAACAAAGGGCTGCGCATATATTGTCTCTTTTAAAGTCAGTGTGACCACTGCGCATTTGAGTTGAATTTCTCTCGGTCAAATGCCGAATTGTCCTCTTCAAAACAAAAAGGGCCTTTTGTAAAGAAAACAAGGAGAGGTTGAATCATTCTCACACCAGTTCACCGCAAGAATTTAACTCTGAACAATATTTCTTGAAGTCAAAATAAACAAGCAGTTTGACAACACTAGATTTTTATGATGAAAATGTGAGCGCTGCTCGTCAGTGAAAAACTGGCCACCAATACACTAGAGTTTTTAGTCGGATTTAGCGTGTTGCTATGTGGTTGCTAGGGTGGTTCTATACGGATCCAAGTCAAAAGAGCTCTATGACTTTCTGAACTCTATATATGACTCGGGTCACTACTTCTGTGCAAGTCTATGTGACTGTTTCGCCCAATTTATCCACCAAGTGAAAATTATAAGCCCAGCATCTAAACGAGTAAACAAAAGTAGTCTCATTTCATCTCTGAGTCTTGTTTTTATTTTAAAGTTCATTAATAAAAAGATCAGTAAACCATTTGTTTCGTCCAGTCTTCTCTACATGATAAAACATTTTTCTTGGCCCTGACTACAATGGATCCAAGTCAAAAGAGCTCTATGACTTTCTGAACTCTATATATGACTCGGGTCACTACTTCTGTGCAAGTCTATGTGACTGTTTCGCCCAATTTATCCACCAAGTGAAAATTATAAGCCCAGCATCTAAACGAGTAAACAAAAGTAGTCTCATTTAATCTCTGAGTCTTGTTTTTATTTTAAAGTTCATTAATAAAAAGATCAGTAAACCATTTGTTTCGTCCAGTCTTCTCTACATGATAAAACATTTTTCTTGGCCCTGACTACAACACATCTTCATCTAGACTAACTGGTCATGGCGGTTGGCTAAAAAAAGAAATATAAAATAATTTTAGAAAACTTGATCATCCATTTCCCCCTTATTTCAATTCAACGTGGGTGCAAAATATATTTAAGGTTAATAGTGATAAAAATACATATATACATTAAGAAATAACGTTGCCAGAACAGAGTAAATGTAACACATCTGAACATAGACTGATTCCCGTAATCCTATATAACATTAGTTATGTAACGGTGCATGTATTGAGTTCGCAGAAAACGTACAATCATACTATAACTTTTTTTGTGTGTGTCATGAATACACAATTAGCATGAAGTGGTTGGACAATCCCATCCACAAAACACAACTCATTTGAACTATGACCATTTATAAATCGTTTTCATAAATAAAAGGCTACGTCATCTTAAACCACACCATTCATAAATAAAAGACATAGAAATCCCCTTAACATTGCGCAAAAGCGGATTGGTCAAACATGTCCTTAATGAATGTAGAAGTCTAATTTGTGTTGTGTAGTACTATTAGTATAACTAAACATTTCACCTCGTTTCTGACCTTTAGTAAAACGTTACTACGTACCTTACTCCCCTCAAGTATTTTTTTCCGTTTCCCAAGATACTGCAATATGGAGATACAGTAAATATGGCCAATGTGAACAAATGAAAATCTAGACTTGATTTGAATTCACAAATACTTGTTGGACTCAAGACACAAATGTGAATTCAAAAACAATTTCTAATAGCTCGATTATGTCAATAGCACCAGTTAAGTATGTGAATCACAGACTTTTTACTTTCATAAAGACCTGGAATAACGAATTATTTTAGGTGGCCAAGTCAATTTAAAATGGAGCAGTTTAACTTTTCATTTCCGTGATGAATCAATAAAATATAAATAGTTATGGGGAAAGCATCTGAAACCCGACACATAAAACCATCGTAATACCAAACGCATTTATTTCAGGCTGTTGACCCTGATCTACCCAGACACACATTTTAAAGTTCCTTATTTCACATGAATCATTTAGGATTAATATTGTAGAGTTGTTTTTTTGAAGTGGCGAGATATAAAAATGCATGTTTAAGGATTTATTTTAAAAATATATCATAAAGGCCTGATAAGTGTTTCAAACCTCATTTCAGCTACCACGACTAAAACCTGTACTTCAGCCCAGTCAACGATTCTTCAGGGCTCACTAACTTACGTTTAGGTTTCACGAAAACCTATTTTTCCCACTTGCAACGATGATGAAACAAAAACACACATGCACGCAAAAAAAGTATGAGATATGAGCCTGAGGTGAAGAATTTCAGAACAGTGAGACCACCTGACGTGACGGCATTCATCTCATCGCGAGGCTAAACGGCAGGTCATTAGTGTTAGTACAATACTTATCGCTTCAGGAAGTACTTATTGTACCTTGTACCTCCGGAGTCAGCTATTGATTTGACTGCAGTCATGAAGGTCAGTGGATGAACCTGTGCTATGGTTTATGCGTCCCTTTTGCTCACAGAGGTCTTGCTGAAACTCGGAGAGGTTCTCTGAGTGCGCTTTATTTCAGAATATGCACAAACTGGCTTTGATCATTGTTGTCATCAGCATGCGTGAAACTGTGGAAAAATACAGAACCGCCGCTTCAACGCTTAGCATGTCGCTCCAAATTCTTCTCTTGGACCCAAAACGAAGAAAAAGGTTAAAAAAATTTGGCATCCATGCTTTGGTCACAAAATACTGACATGTATGATTTGCCGTTTATTACTGATCCCAGTCGCACCACCCTGACAGCTTCTGTCGACACACTCACACATACGCACGCACACACACACACACACATACATACAGACACACAGAGATAAAGGTAGGTTTGTTGTAGTTCTGGCATCGGGAAACCTCACGATGTAGTCCCGTATTCGAGGTTCCCGACTGGAATATAAATTAGCGGAACGTGAGGGGCAAGTGGAGCCGGAAAAGTTCCTTCAGCCCTTTAGAGAACATGTTCTACAGCAGAGCTGCTGCAGAACCTTCCTCTGGCACAGATTGTTCTTTTTCACTAGCACACAGAAACTTCCCTCAGCCCACGATTCTTCATTTGCTTTCCAGAGAGCAGGAAGAGGAGAGAGGAGCAGAGAGACAGCACACAAATGGGCGGCGGACAGGAAATGATGTTGTGTTGGGTTTATTTTGTATTTTTTTATAATCCAGTTGATTGTTCGACGGAGGAGGATATCCAGGTGTGATTGGAATCCAGGATGAAAAGATTTGAAGGAAAGATCATCAGGAAGAAAAGGAGAACAAACATTTAGAAAGTGATCCAAAAAAATCATTTTTACAGTGTCACAGGTTGACAGTGTAACTTTGTTTTCATTTGCTAGAAAAAGCAGACATTACGCTCCACCGTAAAAATGTAGCCCATTTTGATCTCAAGGTTCGTCACATTCACAAGCATTCTTTGAAAATAAATTAGCCTGAAATATTTGGCCACATCTCACCTCAAAATCAGAGGAAAGTTTTCAAAACATTATATTTTGCATAATATTTTCTAGATTATTTCCATAATTTTTTTTATATTGCAACGAGTTCACACGTCACGATGGTATTCTTTGTAGTTCCTTTAAAAAATATAATATAGTAAATAAATATAAGTTCAGGGTCACTAAACTTACTTTCTTGAAGAAATTAATGCTTTTATTCCTCATGGATGCATTAAATAGATCAGACACGATAGAAAAGATTTTTACATTATTACAAAATATATTATATTTCAAATAAATGCTTTTGAACTTTCAATTCATTAAAAAATCCTGAAAAAATTATCATGATTTTCACAAAAATATTAGGTAGCACAACTGTGTTCTATAGAAGTTTGTTTCCGCCATGGGAGTAAAAAATAAATAAATAAATATAAATGGTAATTGTGATATTTTTCTCTCACAAGACTTTTCCCAACTTTTTTTTTAGTTATTTTAAATATTAATAATATTTCACAATATTACTGTTTTTACTGTTTCTGATCAAATAAATGCAGCCTTGGTGAGCATAAGAGACATCCTTCAAAAAAAAAAAAAACATTTGTACTGATTCCAAACTTAGTAAACCAATCAAATAAAACAAAGTAATAAGAATTTGGGGTAAATGTACTTGCTTTTGGAAATTTTGAAAAGAAACAAAAAGGTATTTGTAAAATATAATTTTCTTTCTATTTTGGGGTGAAATGTGACCTGGACACATCAACATCAGAAAAACAAAACAATAAAAAGACCATGATTCAACCCCATGCAAAAAAAACTCAAATATTTTGTTGCACAAAAGATTCAGATTAGAATCTGGAGGAAAGAAAACACTGAATTAAGGAGCTAACCAAAAGCTAGCATGGAAGAATCAACAGTACTCACCATCTTTGCAGATGGTGCTGACGACACACACGCCGTTTTCCAGGTTATAGCCGCTCACGCAGGTGCTGCAGTTCCTCTCCCCCGGTCCTGCGCAGGCGTAGCAGGTAGGATCACACCTGCAGGCACAATCACAGCCGTGATGCATCATTACCGCTTTAAACGTAAACACTTTCTCAGATGTCATGTTTAGCAGTGAAATACTGACTTTTGACAAGACTTTTGGACATCTCCGTTGTCTGTCGTTTGTTCTGTCAAGTAATATCCCACACTGCAGCTGGAGACGCAGCGCCAGTCCTCAAAGTAATAGCCCGGAGCGCACTCATTACACGCTTCCATGCCAGTTCCTGTGCACAGGGAGTACCAGCATGTTCCCAAAAAGCCAGACAGCAAATCATTTGAATTGATACACTTTGGAATGTACACACTTAGAAACACACTAGACTTTTGATCTCAATGACACAGTATATCAATTTCAATGTCTCATGATTATCACTTAGTATGTCAATTTTTACTTTTTATCTCACAATTTGGATGTTTTATCTCATTATTATGACTTAGTACCTCATAATTTTGACTTTCTGTATCATAATTTGACTTAATTTACCAAAGCATGACATTTTTTTCTTATGTGCTTCCTTGGATTAAGAGTCGACTCAAAAGGTCCTTTACAACTGTGTTTTTTACTTTAATTACCAAACTATTACACATCCCAGAAGAACTGTAATTCACCCAAATGACTTGAACAAGAAAAGCTTTTTGTGACCAGTAATTCTTTGAGAATTAGAAGGGAGTCGTTACAATAAAGATAGTTCGAACAAATGTGATCCTCATAAGTGTACACGTGTGCATATATCAACTGTTGTTAAAATCTGGGGCAGAATCTGAGCTAGCAACAGTAATTGTGCTGGATAAACTACAGTATATTCAGAAGCTAAGCACTGGTTGTTCTGCGAAGCCTTAGTAATTTGTTGTAATTTCTGGACACTGGAGAGAACAGCATTGACGTAATAGTCTCAGAAGGCACTTCACAGTCTTGTTAAGTCTAGAACTTCAAAATGGCATCATACTGTGCATCTTTTTTGTGCCCAGGATGGATATATCCTCTTGACATTTTAGGGGCGTTTTAAAAGGGGCGTATATGCATTTAAAAAATAAAAGAACAGAATAGCCAATCAGTGATCTCTCCAAAAGAACACAAAAAACAACTACTGGAAGTTATATTTTATAAATTGCTTTTAAGCCAAAGATCATGATCAAAGCCTGATGCAAACCTAAATGAAAAATAAAGTACTATAAATACAGGTAAAGTGTTTACCTGCACAGGTGGCACAAGTCGAGTGGCACTTTTCACATGCCCGCCGATGCCCATTATAATAGGTGCTAGGTTCACAGCTCAGCTGACACTTATTCCCCTGTAGACTAGCAGGAAAAGACAAACAGAAGCAAAGAAAGAGGGAGAGACAGAATGGATGAGGGAATTATTCAAAGGGGTTCAACACTGAGACTGAGCCACAAGACACTTTTTAAAACCGTGAGATGAGCCTCCATAGGGGGCGCCAGAGCATATAAGGGGAAGAGGATAGTAAAATTTACGAAGAAAAAAACTCATGAAAATGAATATTATCGTTGTTGTGCAAAATCATAATAATGATGACAGCAGGAGCAGGTAAAAACACAAAACATTTAGCCATTGGACCCACTAAGTGCCTCAGCAAACTTCCAAGAGGGCCACAAGATGACTTAATTTTTTTTAAATAAGACAATAGCAATAAAATAAGCTAAAACCTAAATAAAAAAAATCAAGACTGTAAACTGGCATCATATTTCTGATTTCATCAACAACTGTCTTTTCAAGAACCAGGATTCCTGAGGTCTTGGAAAACCTGGATAAAAGCGTATTTAAAGTATTAGTATAAAGTATTTTTCTACTTATATCAAGCTCTAAAATATTTTATTGTGTAGAAAATTTGTTATAAAAGAAAATAATTCAAAAAAAACATTTAATCGCGAATATAATTGCAAATGTATTGGTGTAAAAATTAAACCCTGAAGAAAATTCATTTCTCATTTTATTGAATTATTAAAAAAGAAAAAAATTTATGGAATTTCTGTGTGGGTTTTAGACTTTTTTTATTTTTTTTTTATTAATTGGACTAAATGAACATATTCTTTGCCAGTTTCAACACTGCAAAAATAAATGGTTGATAAAATCATATGTGAGAAAATACTTCTCAAAATGGTTGGCATGCAACATTGTAGATCTACTGTTTTTTAATCACAATTTTTATAAAATTATGCTAGGTTTTTTTTCTCTCAGAGGGAAGGCCCACCATCTAAACTCATGCAGTAGACTAATAAAGTTTCCCCGAAAACTGCAATGAATGACAAGTCAAATGAATAATTACAAAGACTGTAATTGCAACCTTAAAGAGAGAGAAACTGCGGTTTCATCTGCACTCTAGCCCTGCCATCCTGCTTCATACCTTCTGTAGTCTAAACAAGTCTAAAAAGATCAACAACGACGGATTAAAGTCCAAACTAGTGGGTGAAAAAACCTTTACTTATATTCAGAGAATATTTCAAAACCATTCACAGAACAGCTGCTGCGTATTACGCCAGATTTTGTGCCATGACCTGTTTTTCTTTTCTCTCTCTGTTTTTCCACCTCTTTATCTAACGTCAGAGAGGAGTTGGAAAAGCCCAAGCAAAATTGCTCACTAGAGACAGTATTTCAACATACATCTAAACTCAAGAGATACGTGTGTAACAGGATGTTTCCAGTGATAATTCAGCATTTAGTCTGCATGGCTTTATTTTGACATCTCTCAATGAAGATCGTAGGAAAGTTTTAGTCCAAGATTCTGACTATATTTCATATACTGGCTCAAAAAAACATGTCGGAGGTCAAATAATGTATTTGCAATGGACTGAATTACCTGAGACCAGTCTGGCATTCTGTGCAGATGTTCGCAGATGTGCATTTCTTGCAATTCTCGGTGCATTTCCAGCACATGGTGGAGTCTGCGAGAGAACAGCCACATGAGGTCTCAGATTCAACACAATTCACAGCCAAACAGCATGTGAGGTTTTCTGGAGTGAGATGAAGTGTGACTTGCCCAGGTCCAGGTAGAAGCCGTCAGGACAGGAGCTGGCACAGTTGTTTCCTCCCTCCACAAGGAACAGACCCGAGCGGCAGGTTGAACACTGATCACTGCGGCTGCCGATGCAGGACTCGCACAGCGGAGAGCACTTCTTACAGCGCTTCTTATCGTCCCGGAAAAACCCAGTCGGACACTCAGGTACACACATCCTGAGAGACAGACAGACGGAGGTGGAAAGAGAAAAGGAGAGAGACAGACACAGACAGGAAGAGCCACATGAGACCAGAAAAATCAACATCTGGCAGCCGTGAGGAAAGACTTTCACCAGGAAACAAAGGGAAAAGTCAGTCTGAGAAAGCCATCAGCTCCAGATGTGAACGTGGCTTGTGTAACTTGGGATGCCGGAGAACACAAAATCTATAAATGTAATCATGACACGTGCGCACACACACACACACACAAACACACACACACACACACACACAGAGTGTCTGGATAGATGTGAGATGTTAGCAGGGCCACGCAGACACACAGCTGTTGTCAGCATGTGCTTTGGTGTTTTTATAGAAGTTAATTAATCTTTTGACTCCAAGTAAAATTATTTTCAATTAAAAAAAAAAAAGAAAAAAAAAAAGTACTTTCAGTAATACAACCTTTCTGCAAACGTATTAAAAACTTTCTCAATTATTTAGTTGCGCTAATTATGTTACGCAATGCACATGTTTCATGTTGAGGTATTGTATCACCCTGTAGGGAGTTTATTTTGCAATGACTGACTGGCTGTACAGCCGGTTCATTATAAGGCTACATACCAAACAAATGAATACATGGACATTTAATACTGATTTGAGTTTCACACCAAGGTCAATGAGAAATGCGCCAAGTTCTTAGAAATGTCCTCATGTATCCATGCTGCTTTCATACACTACTGTTCAAATGTTCGGGGTCGGTGAGATTCTCTTTTCTCATTTATTTGATCCAAAACAATAAAAAAAAAATACAGTAAAAACAGTAATATTGTGAAATATTATTATAATTTAAAATAACTGTTTTCTATTTTAATATATTTTAAAATATAATTTATTCCTGTGATGGAAAGCTGAATTTTCAGGATTATTACTCCAGTCTTCAGTGTCACATGATCCTTCAGAAATTGCTCTAATATGCTGATTTGCTTTCTTATTATCATCAATGTTGAAAACAGTTGTGCTGCTTTGTATTTTTGTGGAAACGGTAATACAATTCAATATCACCATTCAAAAGAACAGCATTTCTTTGAAATAGAAATCTTTTGTAACATTTTAAATGGTATAAACATTCTAACTGTCACTTATGATGATGCATCTTTGCTAAATAAAAGTATTATTATAACGTAAAAATTGTACTGCCCCTAAACTTTTGAACAGTAGAGTATGTTTTAAAAACAAATTAGATTTTCATATAAAAAGTTCAAATTTAATGACTAAAAATATCTTATTAATAATCTTATCTTATCACAAATAAATATTGATTAAATATAGGTTTCTAAATTAAGCATATTTTAAAGGTAAAAATCTTTGCTTTCTTTTTACAAATAGCACTAATTATTTACAAATAATTTATTAATTAATTCTAGTTCAACCTGAACTAACCTTGTCATGTCATAAAAATATGAAATGATCTGATATTTTAAGAGACCTATTGACCTACAGTCCTACAGTCATGAGGGTCTGCATGGATATGTGATATCATTCATGTTATATTTTTGTTTCGTGCAAATATCTGTACATTTGTTCTACCCCGAGATGCCTTTTTAATAATTGTTTGTATAAGTTAATGCATCCAGAAAAAAAAGGTCATTATGTTATTGAACCAAGTACCAACATTTTTTTTTAAAGTTGTAAAAAAAAAAAGTTTAATGTGTACTGATGTTGTGAAAAGCTGTGTACCTGGTGTTGTTCTTGAACTTGAGGAAGTAGTGGAGGCAAGTGATGCACTGCTGAGGCCCTGGACCCTCACAGCCGTTCTCACACTCAGGGTGGCACAAGCCTTATGTGAGAAAACAGAAACTGATGCGTTTCCACAGATACGCAGTGAAGCATAATAGAATTACAAAAGAGTACTTACCCACATACTCCTCACTGTACTCGTCATCAGGCTGAGGCTCCGCCAGTGAGCGAGGCTTGTCACTGCGGAATGAGTACGGATGCACGGAGGTGCCATAAAGTATCAGAGACCACTCTTTCAGCTTGCCTGGAACGAACAACAAGTCAGTCGGTGTGCAAAGAAATTAAACCCTCATTTACAGAACTAATATTTCTCGGCCTTCCCAATTGGAAATGGTTATTCACAAGTATGTCAGTATCAGTACTTAAACTAAACAGACAAAGACTGATTAAATGAAAGCAGGACAGATAATAGACTCAAAATTTCAATATAAATCCTTTATGATTAATATAATTTTTTTATATAGTTAACGCATTCCGTCAAATTTAAGTATACAAAGAATGTTTTGCGTTCTGCAGATAACTATTCCATAGTTTTATATATGGAATATATAGAAAAAAAGTCTCTCAGGCTTATCAAGGCTGTATTTAATTGATCAAATGCACTGTAAGAAACAGTAATTTTATATATTTATATATATATATATGAAAATTACAGGCCTCTCTCATCTTTTTAAGTGGGAGAACTTGCACAATTGGTGGCTGACTAAATACTTTTTTGCCCCACTGTATATATATATATACTCAAAACTTGATGTTTATATATTCTATATATATAAATGTATATATTCTACTGTTTATATATTATAAAAAACTACGGTCACATTGCTGCCACGTATTTTTTCCCACTCAATTATGTCATAGTAATGAGATGTTATGTTAAAACACTATCTTCTCATAATAATGAGATGTTACATCATTAAATCAATATTTTTTGTTTTTGTTAAAAATTACACATTTTCTCGTAATAACGAGATGACATGCCATTAAAACAATGTTCTTTAAAAATAATGAGATAACGAGTCATTAAATGATGTAATTTCTTATAATAACAGCATATGCCATAAAAGCGACATGGTTATTATATCATTAAAACAACATATTTTGTATGTGACCTGACAACAGGGGAAACAGACGTCACATACAGTTCGATATTCCGCCTGCATTATTGTCAATGGATGATTGCCAATTTTGACAACAAAAAAAAAGATTTAACTCTGTTCAACTTAAATCTCACACATCAGTTAATTAAGTTTTATTTTTCAGGTCACACTACCTGAACTGTTAAACTGTAATCACCGCAATAAATGTTGGTACTGTGGTAGTTACCACACAGCCTAAGTTGATATGCATTTGTCAAATCACCTCTGTGTAAGACCACGTGGTGTTTTCAAAGGTGAAGGAATGGCTGAAGGAACAGGTAGTGTGTTTTGCTTGGAGAAAGTACCTGGTGCTTTCTGGCTCCTGAGTTGGGAAGGAGAATCATAGATCTCTAGTATCCAGTCTCCACCAGCTTTCTCTCCCCAGCAGTGAGTTGTCATGAATTCCCAGTTCTTAAAGCCCTCCATTGAGTGATCAAACAGCCTGCAGTAACAATAAACAGATGCTACACCACAGCACAAAATGCACTTAAAAATACTGGACCAATTCAGTGGAAATCTGGGAATTCTTCCACTGAAATTCACCAGGGAGAAAAAACAAACCACAATATTCAGTAATTCTATCAAAGTAGCCATTTACTGAAGATTAGTGCATAGTCTGTAACTGTACCTATTGGCGAGCAGCTGTGACTTTGTCCCTGATGGTGACGTTAGGTTGATTGACAGGTCTCCTCGCCGTGGGTGTGTAATTGTTATACGTACGACCACATGCTCCAGATAAATAACATGATGGTTTGCATTATCCGTGCAGCCTGTTGCCTTGTACACCGAACGAACGACATGCTCTGGACGGATGGTTCTACGGGAAACAAATGTATATTTACTATGACTTATATAACATTATAAATGTGACCTACTGTGGGATGTTTAAGAGCGATTGCATATACCTGATTTGTTTATCGGCATTCTCCACACAGATGTGCTGTGGGGGAACCTGTTTCCAGCGCTCCGCATCTTTCACCATGGCCTCCGCGTCCATCAGCCCAAAGCCATACAGGTGACTGACTGTAAGAATATTTACAACTTAACTGTTCAACAAAAAAAATAACAATATGCACACAGAGAGTTACCATGAACACCAAATTTACCATCAATCATGATGCAGATCAGGGCTATTTTAGTATCATTGAAACGCTATTAGTTTTTATTATTATATTATATTTTCCTCTCCATTTTTAGAAATTTTGTTGTGTGTTTTTGCAATTTTTATTAGTTTTTTGTCTGTATAGATTTTATACATTTTTTACAATTTTATTATTACAGTTTTAATTTTAGTTATTTTAGTACATTGTTAAACTAAATGAAGATGAGAAACGACGCCTTGCCAACTAGATAAAACATTTGTTTTTTATATTACATTTTTTTCCATTTTATTTTAAGTTAATGTTTATCATATTTCAAGTAATGACACTTTTTTATGGTTTTAGTTTACTATAATAACCCTGATGTATATTCATGTTGTAAAATTAATTGTTCAGCATAGTCTGGAATAGGGGTGGACTATCGTCTCTATCACGGTTATGCTCATGTGACGTCACTGCGCCATCATGAAAGTTTGTCATTTGAATGCGTTTTTAAGAGCTGCGGTTTAAAAAAACAAGCGATTTTAAAAAATTTTGGTATATGTGAGCACTGCCAGAGAGACGGTCTGAGCGCACTCACCTGAAGCACGCATACATACATAAAGCTGCCTCTCACACAGCACACAAGTACTGAACGGAGTTCTTTCTGGCACCTTATTGGGCTTGAACGGTCAAATACACACACTTACGTTTCAAAATGCCCATCTTTGAGAGTATCCTCATAAATACAGTCATTTATGTCTTAAGTGAACCTAAACAGTTGAGAAAAAAAATGCATGTGTATCACTATATTAGAGCCGTGCATTCAGTCTTAAAGTGACAGCAGCCTAATAAACCTGCTGCTGTCTGTGTCATTAATGTTAATCAAACAACAAAAGAGAGTAATCTCTCGCTGCTCTCAACTGAATAACTTTTGTAACTTTAATAGGAATAAATCTATATTTAATTTACACAAGTGAAGATAACAGATTTAAAGTAGTTATCTCACATAGGTCTATTACATTTGAGCCTTTGTTCTGTCGCAGTTTTTTGTGCTGTTGCATGTAATTAGTTTCTTTGTTCTTGTTTTATCACAAATTGTTTACTTGTCTTCAGTTTTTTTTAGTTAGGCTAGTATTAGATTTTTGTGATACTGAAATCGATTGTTAATTATGAAATTTAAAAAAAAAATGTAAAATTTTTGCTTTCATAAAAACAAATCTGTCATATCGTCATATAATATTTTGGTCATATCACCCACCCTTAGTCTGGAAAACCCAAAAGACTGAGCGTACAATAATGAAATCAACGTCTGAATATTTCTGGGTATGAAGTTTCTCACAAGCATCACTTCTCATTTGGTGGTTAAAACGAGACAGGGCAGTTTAAAGAAATTAAAAAGCCTGTTACCGTTATAACCAGCGGCATTGGTTTTCCAGTCAGGAGCGCTGAGATGGCCAGCACGAGATGTCTTCACTATTATGTGTTGTACATCTCGCCACGTCAGGAAAGGACTGCAACAGAGAGTCAAAAATAAGATTAATGGACATTTGCGACTATGTGACCAATTGCGTGACTAAATAATATCCCCAAACTGGATTCAATACCTCCAAACCCAATTATTATAATTCAAACAATCACACTGGCCACAGTTTTCAGCTGTAGTTCACAAAGTCTCATTGCCTGGATGTCTGGTTGAAGCATTCGCTCCCATAATTCACCATGCACAGTGGGATCAAACATCAAACCAAAGAGAGATGGATGCCATGTGTCCCCGACTATCCCCCCGAAATATCGAAACAATCTAACTCTGTTTGGTTCACTGCATTGTGCTGGGAATATACAGTCACATGGCAGCCATATGTCAAGGTTCTGCTCAATTTCCTGTGTGAAATCAGACACAGTTTAAACTTACAGGAAATCAAGCCGCTCTCTAGACGGCGTTCAGAATCCCAGCATTTTAAAGGGGTCAGGATTTCAACATTAAAATTTAACATATTGCATAATTTTGGTCACGGTCAAGTACACCCACAGTGCTGACTTGTTTACCTGTTGTAGCTTATCCTTATTGTGTGCACAAAATAGACACTTGGTGCATTTAAGCCATGTGGGAAAGATCATATTTATGATTTAAAAGACACCACAATGTCGTATTGATGAGTGGGAAAGTCAGGCTTATCTTTGAGTCAGAAGCATATCAGCGAGGAAACATGGTAGATGCAATAAATGTGGCGTCTTTTTTATTGTTTAATTTTATATGTAAATTCTATACTTTTTTTTTCCAAAAATAGCTAAATAGCATGTACAAAATATGATAGTATTGCACAATTATAACAGAATATATGGCGATCCATTTTACAGCACCTTCATAAATTTAATAAAAACAAAAAAGTGAGAAAAAAGGCACTCAATGCACATTTTTATTCATTATTTTTTAGAAGTAGTTAAAAACTTTGCTGGAGAAATGTATCTGCCATCTTGCTCCAGCCAAAGTGACTTGAATGCACCTGACGTCATAATTATGACTTCCCAATTCATAAATACAAATTTCCCAGAAGGTCTTAAATGCACACAGTCAAAACACATCAGAAGCGTTAATTAAAAGCCACTGTTTCAGTCATTGTTTTTGTGTAACCTGTAAGAGTTCATTTCTTCTGTTGAACACAAAAGATGGTATTTTGAAAAATGTTGGTAACCAAACAGCTGACGGTAGCCAGTGACTTCCATAGTACTATAGAAGTCAATGGCTAAGGTCAACTGTTTGGTTACCCTCATTCTTCAAAATATCTTCTTTTGTGTTCAGAAGTAAGAAACTCATACAGGTCTTTATCAAGTGGAGGGTGAGGAAATGATGACAGAATGTTCATTTTTGGGTGAACTATCCCTTTAATTCAGAGGGTCAGTGAGAGTGTGAAAAGCATAACACCTTCATGATTAGTGGATAAATTAGTGGTGCCAATTCCACTGAAGTGGCCTGGAACAGACACTTCCACTAAACAGCTGTTAAGAGAAATGAGAGCATACAGTAGTTTGCTTCCACTTACTTTGCTTCCAGAGCAAGAGCTATGATCCCTGCTGCCATCGGCGCTGACGCTGATGTTCCAGTGTGACTGTCTGTGCAGCGCTGCCTTAGATCGGTTGTGATCTAACAAGAGAGACAAAGAAATTCAGGTTATTCTTGTGCATGGCGTTTCCATGTGTTAATCGGTAAACAAAGTGAATGTGTATTGACACTGCAAGTGAGCAACATGACGTGAAGTAACAATACTTGACCGCTTCTGTTATAATACACAACACCGTCTCCACTGCAAGTACGTGATAGACAACTTTGTTTATTTTTTGAACAAGTGTGTTCCAGTTTTGTTGCATTGCTTTTTTGTATTTTGTTATTTGAGTTTAGTTTTAGTTAACTTTATTTATTTATTTTTTATTTGCTTTTTTGAAAATGACTATTTTACGATTTTAGCATGCGTGGTTTAGATTTATATAGTGTATTAATTTTCATCCCGTCTCACACAGGGCCACAAATTGTTCCATCTGCTGCTTTAATCACACATACTAAACTTAACTCAAAAAGAAATATTGCCAAAGTTTTATTTTTATTTGTTAAATGCACTTCAGCAAACTGCAGTACTTACTGACAATGAAACGTGCTATAAATGTGCCATTGTGCTACACTTAGCTGGAAATTACCACCACTTTGGGGCATTTGTGATTCAGCAGCATGGACTGGATCCACTCAGATACTGTGTCAGCATCAGTTTGAAGTTTCATGCAATAAAATCTTTGAAATATTTTCAAAGAGTTTAGTTTAAGGCCATTTGGATCAACTAAATGAGACTCTTAATTTCAGCTGTGAGACATCTGTGTGACGGATTTCGGATTTACTCTGCTCTAAACGTCACATCCACAAAAAACAAAGTGTGGCTGTTTTTTTTTTTTAAAAGTCAACACCCCCTTCCCGTCTAACTGGAGAGATGTTTTATTTTTTTGCACTAGATCTGATCAGATCAGAAGTCTTAAAGTCCCCATGAAATCAAAATCAAAGTTTTTTTAGTATGAATATGTTAACCTTAAGGTTACCTATAAGCTAGTGTGCTCCAAAACAATAACAAAATACGCATTTAGAAGATATAAGCATTCAAATCTTACATGGTGCATCCCAAATCGCGTACTTGTGCACTATTCTATGCCGTTTTGTAGGTCTATAAATAGTGTGAGTAGTGCGTTCACACTGAAAATTCCAATAAGAAAAAGTGCACTTTAAATACCCGGATGATGCACTTAAATAACAATAAAAAAATGAAGTGTGGTATGTTGGACACTTCATGCACTCAACTGTCACAGCTTTAATTACGTAGCGAAGGGGGAGGGGCTACCAGACTCCAATTATTAATGACAAAATTAATAATTGGAGTCTGGTGAATTATATAATTCACACTCTACATGATTGAGTACATAGTGCATAAGTGAATAGTGTATAAGTGCATAGAGTATAGTGTGTCATTTGGGACGCAGCTACTGTCTCTCACTTCCGCCAATATGGATTACTGATATTTTGGATCAATATTTATCCAAAATATGGATTATTTTGATGACATCACCCTGCACTTCAGTTTCTCATCAGATTTTCTGTCCAATCAAATGCTCTCTAGAATCCAAAGCATACCCTAATAGTAATCTATTAGACTGTGGCTGTAATAAACTGTAAAATGCAGCTTTACCGAGCTCAAGCGATGGCTGAGCTGTGATTTAAATAAAACGCAATAGGCTATTTTTTAAAAGGGGCGGAGCTGCTTGATATGTCCCACCCTGACTTCCTATTTCAGTTAAAATTACGTCAACATTGAATAATGCTATATTATGCATGCCAGGCCTGTAGTTGTCGATATCACTTTGTAAAGAAACACTATGCGCCTGCGCTCATACCTATATACTGACCAAGTAATATGCATGCACAAGATGTCACCGTTTTCAAAACGTCACGTTTTTGTAGTTTACACAAAGACAATTAAAAACACTTGCATGTTGAAACCAGTTTTAAAAAGTTTGCATTTTCAAGCCCCCAAAACACTGCTGTTGTATAAACGAACAGCCAAAGAGCATAAAAAGTTTTTAAACATACAAAATTGTAAGTATTTTTCTCTGTAATTTTATTCAAGTTCATCAAACATCCAACAGAAAGCTGCTTGGTGTGAAACTGACTTCTGTTTGAGCTGTGCTTCATACATCTCTACGAATTATAGACAATCAACCTTTTTTGCCTTCAAAACTTTATTCACAGTACAGTTGGCTAAAATATTTTCACTGCTAGTATTTATGACATTAACCCTGGATGGGTAGATAATAAACCTATGTAAATATAAGTACAGCTGTACTACCTGAAAACTGCAAGAGATCACAACAAAGATAAGTGCTAATGTCTGTAACACTGGGCTTCAGAATGTAAACGTATT